AACAGTATAGACTCTTGGTATTCGCTTGATATATTTCCACGTCTATTTAAATTGAACATTGACAAAAAGTTTTAAAAAATCTTTGTTTAACCATTTTCCCAGAAATAATAAGTCTCTTATTATTTTACTAATATATGTGTCGATTTACAATCATAAAACTTGAATATTTTTATGGAACGATTCCTCTTTCAATTTTCTTCGAAACCATATAAAATGTTTTACTATATATAAAAAGGAAACCATTGAAATTTCACGATCTAAGAATTCAAAGCACACATATCACGAATTTAGAAATATTGTTTTGTTAATTATTTTCATCTGTTTCTAAACTGTGTATGCTACCTAAAAATGTGATGAGTCATTTTGAATCTGTTGAAAAGCTCTTTTCAAATGACTACTCAAAACTCTATTGAATTCTGTAACTTGGTTGTGAAATTCTTTTTCTGTTATGCATAGTTTGACTTTTTGGCAGAATCTTGGAATCACTGTGAGAAATTTCTAAGTTTAGGCTCTGAGCTAACATTTTATGATGAAGTATCCTTACTACTTTGAGTATAAATGATTAGCCCACCAAAATCGAAAACTGGTCTGGTATAGATTCTACTTTTAGTGTAAAATCCGAAGTGAGAAAGGCAAGCTTTCCTTAGTTTCATGTAGTAGTATAAGAGATGGCATCATCTAAGCATCAGTATCATGTCTACGTGAGCTCTACTAAGAGGAACGAGAACATATACAACTAAAAATACTTAAAGACAGACTTAAAAAGAATTAGACCCGTGCCCCATCCACTAGAAAACTGAATCAAATCTTTCAAAAACTATAATTACAGAATTCATAATTTGTGGGCTTTGAATTCTTTCATTGTGAATTTTTAGTGGATACTCTATATAGTAAACCATTTATATGGCTTTGAAGAAAATTGAATAAGGAATCGTTTCATGAAAATATTCAAGTTTAATGATTAAATTGACAGAGATATTAGTAAAATAATTAGAGACTTATTATTTATGGGTCACCCATTTTTTTTTAAATATTCCGAACCTACATTTTGACTGTGTATGAGTGACGTCCTCTATCTCTATGTATAGGCAATTAACCCTTTGATGACGGTTTTTTTGAAAAACTTAACTTTCTTTTTCTTAAAATGGTGTACATTACATGTTCTTATTTCTGACACTTTCGAAATACTGATAATTTTCTATATCAACAAAGGAATATTACTCTGTGACGTATTCCCACTCACTCTTTAAGAATTTGATATATACATTCGATGTCCGATTTTTGAGAAATATCAGAAGTACTCTATCTACCACGCCCATCACCCAAAAGGTTAAGGTTTTAGAGACAGGATTAGAATAAGATAAAAATAAGGAAAATAAATACTTCTTTTCCTTTTTCTTTTTCCTTAGTATTATTTATCAACAACAACGACAATTGTTTTTCGTTTCTATCGTATTATAGAATATATATATATTGTAATTTGTGTAGCATCTTCTGATAGGGATTGAGCTTTCCCATGCGTTAAGTCCTGTCAGATCACCCACACTATCGATATTGCACATGGATTTAAGATAATGATCAGAAGCAGAAAAGAGATAGAGAAATAAACGGAGAGAATGAAGAAATACTCACTTTAACATGAAGAACATTCAAAACGCATCGGTTCGCATTCATTTGTATCACATATCGACTTTAATTATCTACTCATTTTTGTGCACTCAAAAAGTGAGTACATTATACAATCGGTTAGTATGTTCGGCTGGTCGTTTACATGATAACTCTTCAAAGGGTAGTCCGACTGTGACGAAATTTTGCACACAGAATCGTCTCATCAATATCTCAGTAGAGTTCGAAGATGAGAATGATTCGTCAAGAAATTGCTGAGTTATCGCAAAAAATGTCATTATTTCCTGTGCTTTTCTATGCGAACATTGACCTATCCCGGTTTTCGTAAAAAAGCTTTTTCTCTCATAATCAAACGAAACCTTAGCTATTATATACCATTCTATAGAGAATTTCACGGGCTACAAAATGGTATATAAAACTTTAAGAAACAAGAAGGCTAAGTCACCTATTGCAAAGATACTTAAACGGAAGTTGCTTCTGTGTTTTTACTTTTTGAAATACATAACACTCGGATTTAAATCCGAGGTTTCCACATTTTTATTAAATCAAAGTGGTCCAACTTTTATTATTTCATTTAATTTCTCTTAAAAATTGTCTCTCATTTTTATTTCTCTATCACAATTTCACTCACCATTAACAAAATCAACTGGATTTTTTTCATTCACTAAGACTAGGGGTGAGAAAGTTATTGTTATTGTTTTTGTTTTTGTTATTAATAACAATAACATTAACTTTTTGATTCAAAACAATCAATGAAGCAATTCTAAGCATAGAATGTATGAACGTCAAAAGATCACTTAAATAATATAGTATCTTTTCTTACCATTTGATATAAGAACTTGTGGTAAATATTTTGAGAAATACTAACATAATATATTTTGTTATTGTTATTGTTATTGTTATTTAGCAATAACAATAACAAAATATGTTATATTAAAATTTCTCAAAATATTTACCACAAGTTCTTATATGAAATGGTAACAAAAGATACTGTGATACTAGAGTAATTCTTTGACGTTCGTACAAACTATGCTTAGATTTGTTTCATTGACCGCTTTGAATCAAAAAGCTGATGTTATTGTTATTAAGAACAAAAACAAAAACAATAACTTTCTCACCCCGAACTAAGACAAACAGAACTTTTTCTAGATACAAACACACTTATCTCAACTATAAATGATTACTCAAGATTACTTACCATTCTTTACATTAGAACTAATCTTTAAAAAAAAGCACGATACAATCTTTTTGTTTAGTTTTCCTCGCTGATTCTAAATCAGCTTATTTTAAATTACTTTTTTATAATGCATAAAAAGCACACAAATACACTTTTAAGATTTAAAAATAAAAGCAAACAAAAAGACTAATATCAATCAAAAAACAAAAACAATAGCTATCATACTGGAGTCATTTATTTACTAATTTCTCTCATTATTGATCCATGTATTTCTATATTTGTATGTACATTTATTATTCTACTTAATTCATGATTTATCTCAATCCGGGATTTATTTGATTCATCTATTTGTTATTCTACAAGCTGAACTTCTATTTTTCGCATTACATTGTTAACTCGTTATTATTAATTTTTTTTCAAATCACGCCCTCGACACGAGCGTAGTGCTCAGGTAAGATGCCATATGATAATCCTTAACAGGAAACGACTTTAGTTCAGTTGTTAATATTGAGTTTTTGCAGCGCCATATTGTCACAAAAGAGAATCATGTTTAAACAGAATAGGAGAAAACAGGTAGAAAAAAACCGGTTACTCGAAAGAAAGTCAGCATTATTTTAACTTTGTTCTTTTTCTCAGATAAGAAGGTGACGCTGATCAAATAAGAGAGAAAATGTTTTGGTAAGAGTAATTACCACTGTAAAAAAATTCTTTCGATATTACACAAAATGACCTTATCAAAATCGCTTAATATTTGTTTAAATTATTCTAAGACATGGATGGCACCCCGAAATGCCGAGACATAGATCTCATGTCTTCGAATGACAATCAATCGTCAGTTGAATGTGAGTCTGTCGTATTTCCTGTCAACGATCTCAGAGAAGAATTACAAACTAAATACACTTATTTATGAATAGCTTTAACCTAAGATGAGAGTAAAGTAAAGTACAGTAGATGTCAATTAATAGCAATTAAGAAATACATAGCATGATCAGATTTAACTTTCCTTCTGAAGATCTCTACAGGCTGTTCAAGACATCTTATTTTGATCTATACTCCCACATAGCCAAACAAGTTTTCATATTTGTGTAGAATAATGAAACTATGGTAATACACTGTAGACACACATACTAAAACCACTTTCAATGCTGCTCTATGGTCTCTGAGGGTACGTTAATTTTATTATGACATGGATTAATTCAAATCAAAACCAATTCAAAGTAAATGAAGATGTTACGAAATGTCTAGAATCCATAATAATACCCAGAGGATCCAATGGAGATCCAGGGAATCCAGTAGCTAACAGGACCTACTTCTTTAGTATTTATCAAAATTTTTCAATAAGAATCTAAACACTTTCAGATTAACCCTATATAATCACTTCGTATCAACAAAATATGCCCCCGAATATGAATGTCTTAGTGAGGTTGTCGGTTTTAGTCTGCCAAGATGTCATCATAATTAAGAAACCTCAAGGGGGAAACCGCGTACTCTTGTACTTCAATACTTTATGAAGTTCAGGTACTTCGATTGTACTTCATGAACCCCATTAAAATCTATGGAGTACAATGCTGTGTACTCTAAGTATTCGTTCACACTTTCTTTGGTGTTATTGCTTAGATCCATACATTTTCTTTATGTAATTTTTATGGGAACATGATAGATTTACTAACTTGAACCATATTTAGTCGATTCAAATAACAAATTGTTTGAATTTCCACACGGTTAGAATGCCAAAGAATTAAAAAATGTTGTTAAGCCTTAGACATGCATTACGTCGCCTATGGATATGTAGATATGAATAGTTTAGACATTGACTATTAGGTAGCGTTCTAATGGCATTCCTCTATTTATACTAGAAAAAAATATCAAACTACTACTTCAAAAATACTTACCCCTATGTATACACAAGGATAGATTTAAAAATATCCTACTTCATGAGTTAAGTTTCACACAGAAGCGATTTTATTCGATATTATCGAATAAATTATTTCAAAAAATATGTTTCCTTTTTTTCTGCTATAATTTGAAATATTATGGTTCATTGTTACACTTCCTTAATCGTTAGCCTGTTCGAGTGTGAGAATGAAAGATTTTATTTTCTGTAATTTAGTTGACTTTTCAAAAGTGCTCATCAAAATAAAAATTTCGAGCAAAAAACATAACAAAACGTTCTACTAAATGATTTCTTAATCGTGTCCTACTTTTGCATCATACGCGTGAGACGATCGTTTGACAAGGCCGCCTTGTTTTCAGTTAAAATCCAACAAGCAGTCTGTTTGTGAATAAATTTTGTTTTACCATCTAGTTCTACTTCAAAATATAATTTCGCTAATTCTGGACGAACTGTATCAAAGACTCGCATTCCCGACAATGTAGCTCCCTGTAAATTATATAAGACTTCGTTGGAGCACACATTTGATGTTTCAGCTTGTTCGTTATCAAATTGTTGATCTTCGCTATCAGTGGCAGTTTCCGAATCGAATATTTCTTCTGTTTCCTCGAATAATTCAGAAAAGTCCATCGTATTTGTCCTTGTTCTGAGTACTTTCTGAATGCAATTGTTAAGTTGATCCATATTTGTAATGTTTTTCTCATCCAGATTTTTTTTAATTTGGAAACTGAATAATAAATCAGCTGCATCCGTAAAAGCTCGAGAAACTATTGTTGCGATCATTTCTATATTGAGTGAATGGCTGTCAGGAATTGTATGTATTGACGTTTTCAATCTTTTCCCTTGTTTATGATGCTTTGGGAAACGAAGAGTACAATCATTTGAACAAAACTCGCTTTCAGCTTTGATTTTGTGTAGGACGGACAACTTTTGAGCACGATTCAAAAATTCTTGTACACTAAAGTTTACAACAGAAGAAAAGGTACCCGACATCGAACGACAGGAGCGAAACATTCCTTCACATGTTTGAGAACTAAATAAGTAAATATTCATTGCTTCTAGTGGTAACTTTTTTTCTATTACTAACAAAGCAATATATGTTAGCTGATGAGCATTAATTTCCATAGAATAATAGGCATTATCAGTGATATAAAACTCTTTTTTACTTGTTATTCTCTTTTGGTTTACAGTGATGTGATTAAGTTCATGGATAGTGTTATATAAATTGTCTTTTGACATATTTTGAAGCCAAATATACCACCAACGGCAAACAAAAACAGAAAACCAGGCATGAAAAAGTCGATCAATCGAAGATGTTTCTTTGTCAATATATGCAATCATAACTGAACGAAGAAGACGAAGATACATAATTGTACCCTCGGCATTAGGTATGCTGACTAAACTGTTAATGACATTATCACTACATATCTTGATACAAGAGTTAAAATTCTGACGATCTTGTGGAAATATGTCAGATTTTACTAAACCATGTCGTAATTTAGACACATTTTGAATTAATGTTGAAAGATACTCAATAGAAATAAAGCTTTTGCCTATTAACATATTAGCTGTACGAGATAATAGTCTATTACGTAATTTAACACAAAGATGTGTAGCGTCTTGAAAGCATAAAAATAGGTGACTATCGCCAAGAAAATACCATTTCCATTCTTTTGGAATTTTAACATGAAATGCATCTGTGTGACTACTGAGTTTGATATTCGGCAATGAAGCAAAAAGTCCGATAAGAAGTCGCATCGCACGCAGATACTTTGGATCACCATCAGAGCAAAATCCTATAATGCGGACATTTTTTAACAAACATTGTTCAACTATCCATATCCATCGACGAATAATATCGATCGATTGATGTTGATTAGTAGTTCCAAAAGCACAAAGTAAAAATGGATTTGGTATTGCTTGCATTTTAGTGATGGGTTGAATCATATGAATATTAATCAAAGGTGCACGGTCTTCATTAGAGAACCATTCGCGAAGTTGTTCAAAAGAGTCCGTTTGATAGTGTTGATTAATAGGTATTCCATTGTTCAAAGGTGTCGGAAAACCAACAAATGAATTGGTAAGACTGTCATACGATATTTTCTTAATAACTGATGTACAGTCCTCTGAAGCAAATGCAATAGCTGTTTTAAGTGAATCCATATGTGTAGCCAATAAATCATAACGAAACTCTGCTTCATTTACTCGAAGCTCTTTATTTAAAACAAGTCTTTGAAGAGTAGATATAGATGGAAGAGCACCGGGTACGTTCAGTCGAACAAATTCATATGCCATCCTTCCGCTTAATATATAGAATGATGTTGCAAATCGAAGTATATGTTCATTATGACGATATGCGTTTTTTGAGCAACATAGATTGTTACTAATATTGTCCAAAAAAGACGCTAAAAAAGAAACATCTTCAGATTTATATTCATTATTTTGAGCATCTAATGTTTGATAGAAATGAATTAAAGATTTTAAAATCGAGTGTTTTTGAAGAAAAAGTGATGAAAGAGTCATATGATCGTTTGATATTACTGATTCTGTTACGTGTTGATCATTATCATTTACTCTTTGTAAATCTCGAATTAAACATTCTAATGAGTTTCGAACACCCCATTTAACTTCCGTAAAACCATTATCATGTTGAAAAGCTAATTTGTTTTTGATTAGATGCAATTTTTCTGAATTGAATTCCAGCCAACTAAATAAGTTTTCCACTCCCAACAGTGATTGTACAGATGAAATACCAAGAATTTCCATAAATTCTACCGTGTCCTTACCACATCTTTCTTCTACTAGTTGATAAAAATTATCATCACGATAATTCAAAATATCAGAAGGTAAAGATTTGAACATTATCTTTTTAGTACATGCAATTTTCTTACTAAATAGTGATGCATATCTGGACGAATTAGAAAAAATATTTGGATATCTATTGGATAATACAATTCACAAGAACTAATGTGGTAGATTTATTTCTACCAATGGTTACCAGCTTTAATTTAAAAGGGCAGAACTTGGATAATAGCTTGTATTGAGTCCGTTTTCCGAAGAGATTTTAAAAGCAATTAGTTCATCATTCAAGTTCTGCACATAAAACTTCAAAACACAAAAGATTTTTTAAAAACCTCTAATTGTGAATTTGAATTACTCATGACCAGATTACACGACAAAGAATGAAGAATACGACAGATATCTAAAAAATAAAATATGTAAATCATATCCATCGTTATGTCGAATTAAACAAGTACTTAAATAATTTCTTAATTAAGTCAATTATTTTTAGGCATATGTTAACTTGGAATAATGATAAATTGAACATAATTAATGCTAAAAGACGTATAATATGCAATTAAAACAATGAAAACTTTATTTAATAAAAAAAATGAAGGTGTATTTCATATTCAACAACAACAACAGTAGTATATAACACTATTTTTGTATCAGTGAAATCTTGAATATAAACGTTACAGTTTTGAACGATCATAAATAAAATAAAGTATGCTTAATAGTGAAATAAGTTTGATACAACAACGTTCTATTAAAATAATTCGTACATGTAAGCAACTAATACTATATTTTATTCAATTTTCTTAATTTTGATAAGATCGCTTCTTCTTAGCAACGCTCGAAGATTCAGAACGTATGCGAGCACCTATTAAATTGAATATAAAAATATTATTAAAATATGTAGGTAAAATTACTTTTCTGTCGTGTTGCAACATCATTATCGCTTAGATCGATTTCATTCGTATCTTTCTGGTTTGATATGGTAACCCCTTTGCTGTGAGCGATGGTGGTACACAACAGGGATGCCAGGTGCTTGTAAAAGTTTGACATTTGAAACTTTTTTCCTAGTTTTACAAGACCGATTTTGCTTCCACATCCACATTTTATTTTTGCTGTGAAACTTCTATCGTCTGATAATGTAAGAAACAAATGATAATCAACACCTTCCGTTAAGCATAACTTAGAAGAATATTTTTGACACCAATTATTGATGGAATTTATAATAAAATTTCGATGATAATTTTCGTCCATAGGCATAGTAGATGAGGACAATTGTTGCTGTTGAGTAGATGGAATTCCATTGGTAACATATGATGCGGGAGTAAGAGAAGAAATAATAGAAGTAGATCCCTTTTGTTTACTCGAAATTTTCACATCTTTCTCTTTTTTTTTGATAATTAATTCACAAAAGTAATTCATTAAACTCTTGATTCCTGGTTTAACCACATATGTATCATCATCTGATTTCAAGCATAGTTTTTCTTTTAAAGAATTTAAAGCAGCACATTTGATGTCCAGAATAGCAAACACATCAGGTATAAGTACAAGTGAATCAGGACTGCGGACTCCTTGTATTTCGAGCAGTTCTACTGCATTATCTCCTACGATTTGTTTGGCAACATTGTAAAATTGTGTATCAGTATAGGAAAGAACATCATCAGGTAACAGTGAGGTATTAATACGACGCTTGAGTGCAGCCATAAAATGAAGTCCAACAAATGAAATTGATCAAACACTAGTTAAAATGTTTCTATTCTTCTCCATACGTGAGATGCAAGTGACGATACACATTCCTTGCATTTTTTTTCTTTCTTTTCTTCTTCTCATCTATCTAGATGTTTGATACTGACATAGATTAACAAAATAATGCAGTATCTCGTCTGACAAGCATACACTAGACGCTCTATTTATTGTAACTACTATTCTTTCGTTTGAGTCGTTTTGTAAACTTTTTTCGAAAAAGTTTCAAATTTACTTCGTCTTTTAGATAATTGTGTAATGCATCTTTTTATCGCATTCGATGTACTCCTATTGTACTCACTCCACTCCGTTGTATTCTGTGTACTCCGTTGCACTCCATCTACTCTAGGAGTACAGGAGTACGTGTTTTCCCCCTTGATAAATTCTCAATAAATAAATTCTGGTAGCCCCTCGTTTGAAAGACTCTGTCTCATCATTATAGGATGCTGTATCGAATACAATAAAGTTTCCACGATTCGCGTTACTGATGGGGCTGTTTGCTAAGGTGTAAAAATGTTGAAAATAGTCAACTAGTGTCTAATATTAATGATCATTTCAAAATCCGCGAATCATATAATTTTTCACCTCTACGAAAAGCGCACAATATGACATTCTAACGTGAAATTTTACAAAGGAATAGGTATCATGGTCATTATCATGTCCAAAACCGTTTAGTCCGACTAACTTGTTCTTCTTGAAATATTCTGGATGTAAAAAAAAATGTTTCTGTTAGACATTCAAGTAACCATAAGACCTGTTCATTATGTACAATTTCAGATTTCAAGTCTAGCATGTACTTTTTCTCAGGAAGATGAAAAAAGATGATCAGCATCGATCATGTAATGGTTTTCATTAATGAATGCCAATCAATAATATTCAGCATTTTTATATCTCAGTCAGAAGCGTGGTAAACACTACAGACGCTGAAAATTTCATTCTTTTCGAAAGAAATTTTGTTGAAGTACGGTACATATCACATGCAACTATCTACCTATAATTTTCAAAGATATACCACCCAGAAAAATTCTTTACTTCGGATGCACCAATTTAATGAAAAAAAAACGAGTTTGGTGATATGTATATTTACGTAACACTTGTTTCATAAGTAATCTGATAACTAGTGTAAACATTTGTTAGATACACTTTATGACAGACGAAGATCTTTATTCAAGTATCGTAAGCATGATGAGTTACTAGATAAGAAGTGAGAAAAAACCCTTGTGATTAATTATCAGCTAGAGAACAACAAGCATATGTCCTTCCAAGACAAGTAGAAGAAAGACCGATTCATCCAAGAACCCCAGTGATGTAAGCCTTATTGATAAGAGATAAAACAAGAAATTAGTGTCACCATAAGTGCGGGATATCGATGCAACTGTTGTTTTAAGTTTCTTGAGTTCGACGATATCGATATTTCATGGGGAAAAAACCCAGACACATACATCTCCAAGATACTGTCCGTGAGGACAACTTGTATATCCTGTGGTATCTTAAGCCCAGACTTACATCCACCCGTTTTATGTAATGTAGTCTTTGCTTTTAAACATTACTTAGAACGCGACTAGATACATGAATATGGGTTTTTCGAATGGATTAAAATTGATTGCTTGATGTGAATTTCTCTGGATGAGGACAAATAAATGAGTTCATGAAACGAAATGTCACACCCTATGCACAAACAAGTATAGTAATAAATGTACTCACAATTATGCTTAGAACTAAAACAATACCGACTCTATTCATCCGCACACACATCCAGTTGCGAGTATGCTGAAATATCATCATAATTAATAAATCTTCACTAAATAAATAAACCCTAGAAAAATAAGTCTCGACAATCCCTCCTCTCCAAATATCGACCCGGTGCAAATGAGCGGGCTCCGAAGAATACAAACAGGCTAAATATCAAATCCGTGGTCAAAATAGTACGGCTACCTCATTTACTTTGTCATTAATTGCGAGACTTCCAATAACATGACAGTCATCTTCTCTTATAACTACTTGAAGGACAGCTTGACGGAAAACAGTGTTTGTGTATACTATGCAGCAGATATCACACTTGATTGGCTGAAATGGAAAGCTTGTGTGAGTCTTCAAGGAATGTTGCCATCGCGGTGCATAGTGCCTCAAATAAAACGGACTTAACTCATGTGTCATACTTTTTTCGCTCATACGATTCTGTAATTTTGTGCATAACTGTGATTTTTCTATTTTTTTTTGAAAGAATGATTTCAGAACAAAACGTTCATCTTTCTGTTTGGTCGATCAGAAAACAGTGTCGACGCATAATTTTCAGAAGCGAAATTTGACCAGGATTTTTCCAATTATCTCGTTGATATGTTGTTGTAGGATGTGGGTGAAGGTATATCAAGAAAGTTACTATACGCTTCTACTTTGATCAAAGATCTGTGCGTGTGTGTGTTTAAGTAGGATATAGATGCAGGTCTTCTCTTTGGCCACATTTCAAACGACAATAAAATTGAATGAAGTTCAAATTTCCAAGAAATACACCGATACATGTGAGGGTTTGTAGAAAAGCAGTAATGTCACACGGAAACACAAAGTGATTCGCCAAATAAAATCGTTTTACTCAGCCAAGGATGCGCCAAGTAAAAATAAACGAAACTGTAGATATCGAGAGCACTTTCAATAAGCATCGTGGCGAGGTATTTATTAAAACCCTTCATCTTAAGCGATTACTTTCTCATATCATCGCCTGGAGCAAAGTCTGAAGAACAATGACGTTTACATGCATCATGCTGAAAAAATCCGATTTGATTGGCTACAATCGAAAGTATGTCAAGACTTACAAAACGTGTGCCACCAAATGTAGCTCCAAGTATCTACTGGATACGAAAGTAGCTTGTATATAGTAAATAACACAGTGTCGTCTATGGATATTTGAAAAGACGAATATCATAATGGGCTAAATCTCTTCGGATACTGATTGAAATAACAACCAAAAAGATGAACAACAAACGATAAAATCTATCAATACTTTCCACCACCCTTTTCATCTCCCTCGAAACTTTTAAATGACTGGGCCAAGAAAAGAATACATGTGAAGAATTTCGCACACAGTCCAGTGCTATGGATGATTAAACAACGAGAAATGCTCGTCACTGATAATCCTTCTGCAAGCTGGCCACACATGTCATAGCAGTTAGGCACATCCATCTCCATCATTATCTAACAGCCATATGTCTTCATTCATTCCGAGAGTTTTCGATTAATATGTGATGATACACTGTAAACTTACGTTACGAAGATCCTTATGCAAGGTTGAAATGCATCGTTAATCGTTTGGATTCTAAACATTGCTTACG